TATAATCAATATCCTATTAAAATAATGATAATATAAAATACTTAAATATAATCTGTACAAAAATTCTGTTCATCCAAATTAATTAATTCAACAAATACTTGTTTGTTGTCTACTAACATTGTAAGATTAGCACTTGACTACAAACTGTAAGATCAGCAATTCAAACCCACTAGTTGCTCCTTGGAAACCCTGTACAGAATCAGTGCGAGTTGGCAACTCTATGACACTTAACAACAACATAGTTGATACAATTCTAGGCATTATGTTAATTATCTTGTATATCTTGACAAAAAAATTCTAGTAATTTTTGGAAAGGATTACCAAGTTATTCTAAAATTCATCAGGATAAAATTAGTAAATGAAACTAGACACATTTTTAAAGTAAGAATCATAATGTATATTTTACCTGCCCAGTATTAAATATTCTTCAAAGCTAGAATAAGTAAGTCTTTTTGGCTCAGATATAAATATGAAAAGAAAAGAAAGGTTAGAAACACATACTATTATACTTTTGATAATGTACAATAAAAGAAACATTACAAATCATTGCATGAAGAATTAGTGACAAATTGTTTTTTGACAATCATCCACGTTTATGTTGCAACCCTAGAGTTTGCTAGTGTAGTTTATGTCTTCACTTTTTAAGTAATCTAAATGTAATAATGGTAAATCACTTAAATCTGTCTCTTCTCAGTGACTTCAGCTCTTTTGTTCTGATGCTTTACAAAACTCCAAATATCTCAAAACATAGCTTCCAAGCTTTTCATCTGTATGTCAGTTGGCTGAGTAGGGAAAAGAGCAGAGAAGATTTTGATGGACCTTAGCTATAAGTGGCAGATATCACATGTTTTTATCCCATTGTCTAAAACTCTGTCACAGAGCTACACTACCAACTTAACAGACTTAGTTGTAATTTTGAGGTATACCCAAGAATAAGGTAAAATCTTGCATTTTGGTGAGAAGCTGGCATTTTTGTAATGATGCTTCCTGCAGCCACACTAATAGAATGTGGGAAAAATAGAGAATATGGGTTTTACCAAGCAGGCTCTAGAGTCAGGCTTCTCACGTGAGAACCCAAATGATACCATTTCCCAATCAGTTCAGCATGAGTAAAATGGATATTTTTATACCTACTTTATGAAGCTGTTAATAAAATGAAATGAAATGATAGATTCATTAGGCTCAGAACAGGAACTTGTCCATGGCAACTATTAAATAAATTTTGTTTTTGTTACTGTTAAGTACTGTTGAGTCAGTTCCGACTCATAGCAACCCTGTGTAGGGTTTCTGAGGCTGTAAATTCTTGCAGGAGTATAAAGCCTCATCTTTTTACCAAAACAGCTGTTAGTTATTTTTCATTAAAAATAACTATTATTACCAGTTAGAATTGGCATGTGAAATGTAGCCTAATTCGCATCTCTGCCCAGGAGAAACAAATTGCATAAACAACACATGTTGCTTTATGAAAAGTGTCATATGCCATGCAAATTAACTTTTATTATAAATAATTACACGTATACATATATATAATCTATATTTCAATAAAGCTTTTAATTTGAGCTCTGAACAACAAGATAGGAATGTGTGATATAACTAAGGTTACCCTAGGCAATATGACTCAAGCATTTTACTGGGATTATCTATATCTATTTATCTCACAAATAATTCCTTAGACATATATATAAAGTTAATAATCACACCCATGTCTTCCATTCCAGTTGAACAATCTTCTAGCCAAGCAGTCAGTAATATGGAGTTCAAGTGATCTTCATTATTGTGGATTAAATTAAATTGGAGAAGCCAGTTTTGGTGCAGCCAAACTGGTTTCTAAAATCAGTATTCTATATTGTGAGTTAGAATTAACAAGATAGTAGTATGTTGACTGCAGATTGTTCTCTTTCCAGTATTCTGTGACTGATTCTGCCATTATACTTTTCCCATGTGAAGTTCAGCTAAAGAGAAGATGTATAATGTGCAGCTCTTCTTCTTAATTTTAGGGTGGACTGACAGCATAAGCAGATAGTGGAAACACCACTTTTTCAATTCTGTGTCTCAGACAGGGCAGATATTCCTAGGTAGTGGCAGTACAAAGTATGGTAGGGGAAAGGGGGAAATAGTGCTAACGAATATGTTCCTGGTGTTCTGCTGTAGGTTAATGTGGGTTAATGTGCCAGACTGCAAAGCCATTTGAACTGCAAAGTCGGTGGGACAAGCTCACCAGCTGCTCCTCGGACATCCTATATGGGTCTCTATGGATCAGAACCAACTCAACAGCACTTCACAACAACAAAAACAATATGTTCCTGACTCAGTAATATAAATATGTAATCTATGTAATCAATTCTTTCTGGGTAATAAAAATTGGAGGGCATCCATAACACATTCTTAGATCATTGAATGGAATAACTTTGATTTCTTGCCTCAGAAAACATCAGTTAAATTCAGAGTGAATTTGCTCCATGAAATCTACTATTTGAGAAGGAAGAATTAAAACAATAGTGAGCAAAACAAACTAGCTATAGACCGAGTGGAAACTGACAAATAAATACAAGTCGTCCCTGACTTACGATATATGCTAGTTATGCTGAATCAGCACTCTTTTTTTGTACATCTTATTAGTAATATGTACTACATACAATATCACAGTAATTTGCTGATGTTATCATTCTCACATATTATTTTCAGATGTTCAAATATAAGATTTATAAAGGTACTGAAATATAAGATAATAAAGAGAACTAATAAAGATAGAGAGAAAGATCTGACTTATGTCTGGACTGACTTCTGATGGAATCACTGGAATGAAACTTTATCTTAAATTGGGCACTGCATGTATTACAAAATTTGGAGACAAATACTGTGTTATGATCACTTTGACTTCTGTTTTTAAAGCAAGTATAATATAAAGAAGATGTTGCAGACTTGATATGCAATACTATTTATTTAAAGGATGCTTCAAACTCACGTGACTGCATTACCTTCAATTTTGACAAGTAGGTGTAAAATAAACCCAAACCCATGCACTGTAGAGTTGGTTCCAATTTGTGGCAAACCCAGAGTAAAACTGTGCTCTTTAAAGTATCAATGGCTATGAATTTTCAGAAGCTGATTGCCATATCTTTCTCCCAAGGTGACTTGGGGTTGATTCAAAGCATGAAACATTTAATTAGTACCTGAGTGCATAACCATTTATGCTATCCAGGAACTTAAATTTTAAAGAGGACATGAAAAAATGGGAAATTTGTGTACACTATCCACCACAACAGATATATAAAATGTAAAGAGATACTGTGATACAGTTGTTGTTGTTGTTGGTAAGTGCTGGCAAGTCAGTTTGAACTCATAGCAACCCTGTATAGAGTTTCTGAGGAGCAACTGGTACGTCCCACCGCTTATCTGTCAGTTTTTCGTACTATGAGTTGCTGTGATTCTGGAAGCTATGCATGGGTATTTTAAATACCAGTAGGGTCTCCCATGTTGGACAGGTTTCAGATGAACTTCCAGATGAAGACAGACTAGGAAGAAGAAGTGATGAACTACTTTCAAATATTTAGTCACTGAAAACCTTATGAATAGCAGAGAAACACTGTCAGATATCGTGCCAGAAAATGAGCCTCTCAGGTCGGAAGGCACTCAAAATGCAACTGGGGAAGAGCTGTCGCTTCAAAGTAGAGTTGACCATGATGATGCAAATGGAGTAATTCCCTTGGGACTAAAGTCTGTGTGACCTTCATTTGCTGAAGGGACACAACTCTAAACGAAGAGAAACAGCTGTAAACATCCATTGATAATAGGAACATAGAATGTAGGAAGTAAGAATCTAGGAAACTTGGAAATTGTTAAAAATTAAATTGATCACATAAACATTGATATTTTAGGCATTAGTGAGCTGAAATGGACTGGTTTAGATGATTTTGAATCTGATAACCACATGGTTTAACAGATCTGTGTTAGAAGAAGTGCAGCCAGAGTACTCCTTGGAGGCTAGGATGGCCAAACTTCCTCTCTCATAATTCTGACATACTGTCAGGAGGGACTAGTTTCTGGAGAAGAATATCATGTTTGTTAAGGTGGAGGGTCAGAGAAAAAGAATAAGTCTCACAGTGAGATGGATTGGCAAAGTGGGAGAATCAATGGGCTCAAGCATGGCAACAATAGTGAGGTTGGCCCAGGACTGGGCAGTATTTCGTTCTGTTGTGCATAAGGTTGCTATGAGTTGGTACTGACTTGATGGCACCTAACAACAACAACAATAGCAACTGGTAGGTTTGCATTGCCGAACTCATAGTTCACAGTCCAGTGTTAATCTTATAGCACCACATCAGGAGAAGAGCATTACTCACGTTGAAGCAACTATGTCTGTGTTTAAACCTTAATCCTAAGACTTTTCAATTACAGTACATTAGCCATGTCAGTTGACCTCTCCTAGCCTCTTTTGCCTTGTCTGAGAAATGAGAGCACCTTCATTTGGTGGTTGTGACAGAACACATCACATCAAGCCTTGTCTATGGTAACCATTCAAACACACATTATTTTTTATCTCCCTAATAAATACATTATTGATAGATAGATAGATAGATAGATAGATAGATAGATAGATAGATAGATACAGATATTGAAAAGAGGCGATTTAGCCTGCCATTCCTTCCAGTGTTCAATTATGCTTAATACCATGAAAAGTCTCAGCTGAATAAATACCCTTAAATTTCATCAACTTTCATGACTTCCTGGGAAATACAATACTAGGAAAGGCCCTACAGTCCTATAGTGTCTTTACCAAGAAGTTATGCAAAATAATATGAATATGTATCTAAATGATTTGAGAAACACAGAGCCTAATCTCTTCTGCAGAAATTGTAATCTCAGATGTGTTCTACGTCATATGAACTATGTTACTCTCCGTTTATCTTGAGACTGAACCACTCCAAATATCTTCTGAGGTATATTTGGTAATTTAGTAAATTATAATGATTAACTCTTTATAAATATTTCTTTTATAGTTTTTACAACTGGGAAAGTCATATTGCTCTTTGGAATTCAAGTCCCAATTATCAAGTAATTGCTGATAACCCAGAAGGCTTACTCTTCAAATACAAAAGAGACAGAAAAATTCTCAATGTGGACCCCAAGGTAATTTTTTTTCTTTCACCTATAAACTCTTTAAAAATGTATTTCTATCATTATTTAAGAATCTATTAAATGTTATATTCTTACTTTTTTGATATTTTAATGTTTAGAAATCAAAAATTTATTTTGAAATTTAGAACATTTACTATAAAAGAAATCTTAGTAAATCATCAGTCATTAATATGGAGTCCTGGAGTGGCAGTGTAGGATAAGCATTGGTCTTCTAAGCACAATGTCAGCAGTTCAAACCCACCAGCCACACCTCAGAAACTATGAGCCAGAACCAACTCAATGGCACTTAAACAACAAATTAATAAGGAAGCATATGAAGGAAAACTAAATTTGAGGAATTCATAAGTCAGAACATTTCTCCATGCCTAGGAGTAGAATTAGATCAGCTAGCCAGATGGTAATGCATCCTATTGCTCTGATTTTTGGAAGGTTACAGTCACTCTTTGCTCTGAATGGGGAAGCAAACCATTTATAGAAGTGGTGGTGGTGGTGGTGGTTATGTGCTGTGGAGTCAGTTCCCACTCATAGCGACCCTGCACAGGGTTTCCGAGGCTGTACATCTTTAAGGGAGCAGAAAGCTTCATCTTTCTCCCATGGAACAGCTGGTAGTTTAGAATTGCTGACCTTGCCATTCACAGCCCGATTCATAACCATTATCTGAAAAGTGTACATGAGATTTGTATCCTGTCAGCATAATTATTTTATCTGTATGATAAGCAAATGATCCCCGAGCTGTACTATATAAAGAAGTATATAATAGCATCAGATTTGAAGGGAGACATTAACAATCTGTGATATGCAGATGATACAACAATTTTGCTGTATGGAAGTGCAGAGGACTAGAAATGCTTACTGATGAAGATCAAAGATGACAGCTTTCAATATAGAGTATACCTCAACAGTCTTGTTGTTGTTAAGTGCCGTGGAGTCGGTCCCGACTCATAGCCATCCTGTACAGGGTTTCCGAGGCTGTAAATCTTTACGGGAGCAGAACGCCTCATCTTTCTCCCGCGGAACAGCTGGTAGTTTCAAACTGGTGACCTTGTGGTTCACAACCCGATTCGTAACCACTACACTACCAAAGCTCCTTACCTCAACATTAAGAAAACAAAAATCCTTATAACTGGAATAACAAGTAACACTACAATAAATTTAAAAATACTGAAGTTGTCAAGGATTGAATTTCCATGGAAGCAGAAGTCGAGAAATCAAAAGATATGTTACACTGGACAAATCTGCTGCAAAAGATCTTTTTAAAATGTCAAAAATCTAAGATATGAATTTGAGGACTAAGGTATATCTGACCCAATTCATGGTATTTTCAATTACCTCAAGTGAAATCTGAACAATTAATAAGGAAATTCGAGGAAGAAGACTCGATGTCTTCTTCAAAAGAAAACATATTTAATTTGAGGACTAAGGTACACCTGACCCAATCCATGGTATTTTCAATCCCCTCAAGGGATAGCTGGACAATTAATAAGGAAGACTGGGAAGAAAAATTGTTATCTTTCAATTATGATGTTTGCAAAGAATAATCATAGACTGCCAGAAAAAGAAACAAATAGCTAGAATGATCTTTAGAAGCAAGGATAGCAAGACTCCATTTCATGTGCTTTGGAGTTTCCATCAGGAGGGACAAGTCCCTGGAGTAGGACATCATCTTGATAAAGTAGAGGACTAGTGAAAAAGAAGAAGATCCTCAATGAAATGATCTGCACAGTGGCTGCAGTGATGGCACCAAACATAGAAACTATTGTGAGGGTGGTACAGGACTAGGCAGTATTTTGTTCTGTTGTACATAGGGTACTATGAGTCAGAACTGATTGGACCGCACCTAACAACAACACCCTGATTTAAAATGCATTTTATTTAAGATTATAGACACATTCCTTATGATATTTCAAAAAATTAAGGGCAAATATCAACATCTTATATATTTTTAAGACTACATATGCATCTATTGGTTAATTTTAGTTATGAGTTTACATATAGCTGAGGATAAATGATGAAAGTTTATTGAAAATCACTATGTCATGGATTTGTTTGATTCTTTAAAAAAAAAAATTCCTGAAAAATATAGTGTGCATATAAAAATATTAGTTTAAAATCCAAACTAAAACATAAAAAGAAAAAAAACCTTCTAGTGAAAGAAACAAGAATTATCTTTGATTATTACCTTTAGTCTTTGATACACCTAGTGTAAGGGCAGACTTAAAGAAAAGAGGGGTCAGTTTCAAAAAGTTCTTCCTATCAAAATATTTTTATTTTATTTATTTATTAAAGCTTCTTGCTATTGTTGCTGTTGTTGAGTGCTGTCGAGTCAATTCCAACCCATAGAACATTTCTAAATGGTAACCAGTGAAACCTTATGAATAGCAGTAGAACATTGATACAGTACCAGAAGATGAGCTCCTCAAGTTGTGAGAAACTCAAACCACAACTGGGGAAGAGTTGCCTTCTCAAAGTTAAGTTGACTTTAGGGACATGGATAGTTTTGGGGACTTTCCTTTTCTGACAAAGCACAACACAAATGAGAAGAGACCATTGCAAACCTCTGTTAATAATCATAACCTGGAATATATGAGGTATGGATCTAGAAAAATTGGATATCATTACAATTGAAATGGAATGAATAAAGATTTATATTGTAGACATTAGTAAATTGCAATGGACTGGAATTGACCCTTTTGAATAAGACAATAATATCATTTACTATGATTGAAGTTGTCAAGGACTTCATTTTTCTTGGATCAACTATCAACATTCG